AACTAACGATAGATAAAAAAAAAAAGAAAAAAATTAATGATTTCTTAAAATAAATTTCAACGCAATTATGCATATAATGCAACTGTAAGGTATCGCTGGCACGATGTTAGTACATTAATGTATTATCTAGTCGAAACATCTTTGAAATGTATATGGGACCATGAATTTATCATGCCCTTATAGTATTCAATATTAAAAGCTTACTCGACTATTTTTTTCGATTATTTCAAATTTCTTCTCTTTCCAAATCTTCATGAATTTAAAAAATTCAAATATAATAAAATGATTATTATTTAAAAATTTATCAATTGTTTATGATTTGAATATCGTATCATTTAAAATATTTTTATTTTTTAACATATTACACAAAAATCAAGTCGAGTAAGCTTAAATAACAAACATTAGTTTGTGCAAAAGAAAAGTCGCAGACAGCATTTTTATGGGGAAAAAATCATTTTCCTGTAATTCATATCGACGAATTCCATTTTGCACAAATAATTGAATAATATTTTATCAGATTCTCTCTATCGACGATATTGTCAAAAAAAAAAAAAAAAAAAAAAACTATTCCTACTGGAGCAAACGCGAATTAGATCACTATAATATAATCGATACAAGTTTTAAGAATTTCCAACATTCATATTTTTTAATGTAATTTATTAATTATACATTGAGCTAAAGAGTTTTGTTGTGAGATCGCTGTGTGTGTTACACTATATATATTCTTTCAGTATTTTTAAACGAATAGTACAAAACAGCGACAAAAAAAATGGTAAAATGTAATAAATGGTATAATGTAATCGTTTTGATTTACTGATAGAATATACACTATGGTTCTTATATTAATGTACATATATAAACAGTGTGACGAAGAATTGCATAGTTGTTAAAATTTAATGAAAAAGACAAAAAATATGCAAATTGTAATAGTAAACACTGTGAGTGTCTTCAAACATATTTCGCATTTATTATATAATTTTAATATATTTAAATGTAAAAGAAGTTTGTATCGATAAATGATTTGTATTTGTAGACACTCAAATCATTTATTTATGTAGTAAAAAGTAACTAAATTTCAAATGTGTATTTGTAAATTTCACGTTACATTTTTTTGTTATATATATATTATTTTAGAAAAGTATGTCAAAAATATGTCAAAATATGCAAACTGTTACAAAAAATTGAAGACATACATAATATATTTTTTATGTACGGTATTTATTAATACCATTTTTCACCATTTATGATATATATATAAATTTAATTATATATTACAACTATTTTTTAAATATGAAAATCGGTTGAATTAATGAAAATACACTAATTATTTAAGATACAATGCCAAAAGATTCAATTTTAATTTGATATGTTCATTTCTGTAAACATTTTAATGTATTTCCAAAAAGAGTATAAATTGTTGCCTATTGCAGATTTATTAAAACTTTTGTAATCGTTATTATGTTTTGTTTTCAAAAAAATTTTTTATATTTCTAAATTTTTCATATTTTATATATTTCCATTTCATGTTACATATATATTACTTTAACACGAACGAATATACATAGTTTCATATCTTTCGAGACAAGTACAAAATTTCAACTAAATTGATATGTATTGCTTATTATAATTATAATAATGAATATTAGAAAATTCTACTAAATTATTTATGTAAGATAAAAAATTCATTTGTGATATTTGCAATCTAGTAAACTTGAATTACAATATCATTTTAAGTTTCTGGAAATGCAATTACGCATGTAAATAAAATTAAGCCTGTATTTTTATGACAATGACTAATGAATATCTGGGATGAATATATCAAAATATTATTTCTTCCAAAATTGAGAATTGCATGTAAGTTCGTTTAGATACAGGATTGATGCTACAAATGTATTTTTTATTGCAAAGCACTAATGTAGATTTAAGTAGGCATTGTAAAATCACATCAATTTTACAAAAATCGAAAATTATTATGTCAGAATATATAAATCTGATTTTCCAAGAAATATCTCAAGTCAGAATGTATTTTGAAGTGTAGAAAATGAGTAATTGCATAAATGTTTAAATCCATTATAAGATAATACTACTTTTCAATATTGGATTGAAAAAAAGAAACTCATATAACAAACTAAATGTTTGGCAAAACTTGGTGCCTTTTCATTTCAAGAATGAAAACATTTTTTTACTGTACCTTGATTATATAAAGAATCGAGGTCAAACGACCAAAATGAACAAAATAAATATTTATGCTCTTCCCCTTTAGGGCTTCTTTTATAATGTTTTACTTTTTAAAAAGGGTTAGAAAGTTTTTTAAAATAATAAAATAGAAAAATGAATTAAATGAATGTATGGAAGAAAATGTATACATTTTGTAAAAATAGCAAACAAAAAATTGCTTTTTAAATTTTTTCTTATATGATTCTTTTTGCATAAAAAATTTGTTTTAAAGTAAAATTTACTTTATTGAAGATTATAATAATGGGTATATACTAATTAAATTTATTATATTGCGATATTCGCAAATAGTTTTTACGAAAATATATATATATTTATTTATTATATAAAAGTATTGCATACTAGTCAAACTTTATAGATTTAAGTCAAAAACAGGGATTGAATATCACACAGAAAATTAACCATTGATTGCGCATTATATTATTTGTGCAAAAGGAAAAGATAGGATATTTCTATAACTATAATGAGCTTATACATGTAAAAACTAATGATATCTGTATTAAGTGTAAGAATGGCTTTCTAAGAAATTTCTGTTTCTTTTCTTGTCAATAATTCATTCAATGATGGCAAGTATGATTGAATATAGAAATATATGTTAATTAAATTCATTTTTGAAATAACATATTTAAAAATCAAAATCAAACGTAAGATATCCTATTGCATAAAAATAATATTTAATTCAATATTTTATATGTGGTTCTATATTCATCGATACTTGCTTGTACTTTGTACTTTTTAGGTATGATTGCTATTTGTAAGTTTCACATAGTTATCAATTTCACAAAGTGCAAGCAATTGTAGTCTTGTTATTGATGATGAAAGATCAAACTTAACACAGTTTCCTATGTTGCGAAAGAAGACGGCCTTAAATAATTCCAGTTGTAAGACAGAAAAAAAGAGTTTAGTATGTTGTTAAGAGATGAACACTGAGAACAAATGAAGAAAAAGAAAATTAAGAAAAAGTCCTGAAAAAGGAAAAGTAAAAATATCGTTTTCCTTATAACTTAAAGAAAATATTTTGATACCTCCAGATTTGCACAAGTCGAGTGTCATTCATTATTGCTTAAATAAGATTATTTTTACTGAATGCAGCTCAAAATGATAATAATTTGTATAAATTACATGAGATTTAAGAAGCTCTAAGAATTGTGTGAGTGTGTGAATCACAAAAAAATGAATAATAAATATATGTTTAAAACTTGTAACATTATGTTTATTATCTAATTCATGAATCTATGAATATTTTAAATAAAATATTGGGAATTCATTGATAATAATATCACATATTTGTATATTCATAAAATATTTGGAAGATTGATTCTAAAAATTAAAAAAAATATATTTTTTTAAATTTTTTAATATTTTTACTATTAATATAATAATTTAATATTTATATTTATTTATAAATTATAAACAATTTGAGTTTGCATTAGATAAAATATTTGGAGATAGAAAGATTTTTATTTCATTCTATCTTGCTTCATTTAAGGTAAACTTGAATTTTTTTAATATATTATAATTTATATATTATAATTTAATATATTATAATTTAATAAATAAATCTTAACTGATTTTTATATAAGAATTTCTGTATTTATTTTGGTTTATAGTAAAATATTTGATTTTATAGTAGAATCAGTTCTCCAAAGAAGTTCTACAAATATATTAAATATCTTGTATTATAAATTATAAACTATAAACAAAAGGTGAATCTTTAAAATTAATCTTTAAAATAATTAAATGAATAAATTTTTCTATTGCAGCATAAACAATTATACTTTTATCTTACCAAAACTAATTCATGAGAAGATGAAACAGAAAAACAATTTCTTAAATCGTTTTTTAGGTAAATTATTAAATTATCTTTTATTGAATTTATGTTAAAACAGAAAAATTTATTTGCCTAGAAATTGAGAGTTTTATTTTTTGTTTATAATTTATAATGTATACAGAATGTATACAATGTAATGAAAAGCAATCAAATACAGATGTATGTATTACAGTAGATATATACATATGTGAAAACAAAATTAATTAGATAAGTTTTTTAAGGTTTTAAGATTTATAAAATTTTTAAGATTAATTCGAAAACTAAAGCTAATATTGATTATATATAAAGAAGAATCATATAAAAAGAAGAATTAAAATGATGTCTTTTACAAGATATCTTAAATCATTAAATTCGGTAAAAGAGAATTATCGATAGATTTATTTTTTATTTTTCTAAATATTATATTTTTTTAATAATTATTAATGTGTAATATTTTATTTTTTTATTTTTAATTGTATTTATTATAAAGTTACAATTAATTTAAAAATTTTTTTGAATAAAATAAGAAAAAAAATAATATTTTAAAAACTTTTTTAAAAACAGAATTTATTTTTTTATAAAAATTTATTATTTCAATTTTTATATATGTTAATAAATATAAAAAGTAATTAGAAAATAATTCGCATTTATAATAATAAATCTTGTTTAAATGCAAGATTTAAATATGGCTTTTTTTTATATATGTAACTATTAAATATAAATATTCAATATTTTGTACATTAAATAAAATTAAAAAAGGAGAGAAATTAAAAAATACATAATATACATAATTATATTTTTAGATTTATATTTTTTAATATCAAATGTAGATTATTGAAATTATATACATAACAATAATGAGTAATTAAAATCTAAACAAATCAGATTAAAAAAAAATCGATAGCTTATTCATAGTTAACTGATTGATGTAGAAAGATTGTATTACATCAATATCTTTGATTCTTACAATAATAATTGATAAATTATTATAAAAAAAAATTAACGAAAAGTAAAACTTAAATTATTTCATTAAATTTATTAAATTAATTTATTTTAATATCTGAAAACCGAGGAACGTTCTTTATAAAATTAGTGTTTGTAATCTGTCACGTCATCTACAAGTAATAAAAGGTTTCAGATTTTGTTTATAATTTACATCTATTATTTACAAATATTAAAAGAAATATGTTTAAAATATCATTTACATCTTAAGATAATATATTATAAAAGATTTGAATTATTTTGGTAAATATAATAAAAAATTACATTATTAAAATCATATTGTTATTTCTTAGGTTATATTATAGGTATAGTTTTAGTATATTAATGATAGTTGTTTTTCACAAATTTCTTCGAATTTTTTTAAATTTGCAACAAATTTTATCATTTTTGTTAAAAAATAATTTTGTTTACATTATATTCATTTTAAATATTTTGATAGATTAATCATATATCAAAAAAACTTTTAATCAATATATTATATGAGAATTATAAACTATTTTCTAATTTCAAATAACAGTTAAAGGAATTAATCTAATATATGTTTTTAATTATCAGATATAAAATGTCCTCGCATATTATGAGTGCAGATTGTAGCAAAAATAAATATAGTATAATTGCTAAACAATATTGTGTAATTGATACAAAAGATACTATTGACGATAAAAGTTCATACATACAAAGTTCATCTGAAAAGTTAATTAGCAGTGAATTGCAAATAGATTTACAATCAGTTAATAAATCAAAATATGAGTCAGATACTATACAATTTTTAATAGATACTAAAAAGGAGAAAACTAAAGGTGATAATAAAGAAGAAATTAAATGAAAAATTTGTAAGTGATGGTAATACTTATCATTCATCAAAATAAAAAATATTATATATATATTTTTTTTTGTTCATTATAGTTTATTTTCTTTTTGATGATTAAAAATTTATTAATAATTTGATATTTAGTTTTTAATAATAAATATATTATTATCACTTAAAAAAGTTCTTTAAAACAACTGATCTTTTAAGGCTTCTATAGAAAGAGACTTACAAGGTTTTTTCTTCTTTTCTTTGTCTTTTTAATATGATAATAAAATCAATGTAAAGCCATTGGCTGAGTTATAGTATAAACTAGACACAGTAGTACAATAGTGTTCAGAATGTCAGTCCAATGCAAAAAGAAAAGAAAAATTTCAAAACATCAAGGTATCATCATCACTTATAGTTTCTAGAAGGTTCTATCTTCATAGAAATTCATTTCATAGAATTATTTATTAACTTTTTCAATACTATAATATATATTTAAATGAAAATTATTTTCACTTTAGAAGTTATTGGTCATCAATTGAGATTTAGTGCTCACAATGAAAATAGTAATAAAGACATTAATATTGCTGCATCAATTCAACCAGAATATGATGCAAGTATAGATGAAAAGTTACCAGAAACAGTGAAATTACTTACTACACCAGAAGGAGGAAAACTATATTTAGTAGGTACAGCACACTTTAGTATTGAAAGTCAAAATGATGTTGCAACGGTAAATAAATTTACAATTTATTATTAGTTTTTTTTAATTATGATTATTTCTAATAAAATTAAAAATATAAAATAAAAATATTTTTCTTTACAATTAAAGATCATTCAGGCTGTACAGCCTCATATAGTCGTAGTTGAATTATGTAAAGCTAGAATTGGTGCTATAAACATTAATGAGGAAACTTTATATCGTGATGCAACGGATTTAAGTCTTAGTGAGTTTTTTAAAATATGTATTTAAATATTTTAAATATATTTTTTGAATGTATGAAATTCATTTATTTTATTTTGTAGAAAATTTAACTGAAATATTGCGGCATCATGGAGCTTATAATGGATTGTTGCATATTATGTTATATTCTATATTGGCTCATATTGTTAAGCAACTTGGAATGGCACCAGGTGGTGAATTCCGTACAGCATTTAAAGAGGTAAATTAGATTGATTTTAATTTATTAAAAATATAAAATTATCATAAATAATCATATTTTTTTAGGCAAAAAAAGTACCAAATTGCATTATTCAATTGGCAGATCGTTCAATTGACGTAACAATTCAACGTGCATTAAGAGAAGTATCTTGGTGGGAAATTATAAAGCTTACATGGTTTGTGTTACGGTTAGATTCTCGTATCAGTAAGCAAGATATAGAGCGATATAAACGAAAATGTGTACTAGAACAAATGATTTCAACATTAAGAGAAGAATATCCAGCAATAGAAAAAACGTTTGTCACAGAAAGAGACATATATCTTACATACCATCTCCAAATGGCTACTGCAACACAATATACTTCAGCAGGATTAATATCACCAAGAGTTGTAGGAGTTGTTGGTATAGGACATATCAATGGCATTGTTGAAAATTGGGGAAAAGTAAAAGCCTCTGATATATGGCCTATTATACGGTATGCATATATGTTATATACAAAATGTTAATATATTTGTGGTATATTTTTGGAGAATTAATTTTATATATATATATATTTATATTATATAATTTTAAAATAACAAAATTTATTGTGTGCAAAAATATCGAAAAGGCTTATTTATTAAGCAATTGAATTTTACACAAAGGAGAATGAAAATAGAGTGATATTATTTTGTCTTTGTTATATTACATTATTTATATTATATTCTGCGCTTAATTAATAAATAACTTAATAAAGAAGCCTTACTAACATTTTTGTACATCAATTTTTGTGTTTGTTTTTATATTTAGAATCGATTCGAAAAATGTCCCATGAATATTTTAAAATTTTGTATATATATAAGTATTTACAAATAAGTTTTTATGGATATCAAATTTCTTTTTATTTTTATTTTTTAGAGTTCCTCCTCAATCTTTATCAACTAAAATATTGAAATTTACAATTAAGGCTTCCTTATTAGGAGCTACAATTTATGTGGGATATAAAGTTATACCATTACCTTCTATTAATGTATTGCAATCAATTAGATCGTCGATTGAAGGATTATTAAAGGGCAGTGCGAAATAATAGAGTAGTTGGATCTTTATGCTTAGAATTCTTTAATAATATAACTGATATAATGATATAACTCATAGTTTCTATTAAGAAAAAAGAAACGAAAACAAAACAATTGTTTGCTTTATTTTAAGCTGCTTATTTTTAAAAAATTCTGTAAAACTTTTTTTAGTTTTTTCGTTGATTGCTATAATGGAGGCGATTGCATGTGCAGATAAATATGAACATACCATATCTGGTGTTATGTATGTAGAACATAATATACCAGGCCCTGGAATAAATCTGGAAGAATTCGAATTAGAATATTCATTAGGTTGTTCATGTACAATTCAGTGTTCTGATTGTTCATGTACACGTGGTTCTCCAAATTATATTAATGGTCGAATATTAGATGAAACATTATCAAGACCAATAATCGAATGTAATTCTCATTGTACTTGCAAAGAAAATTGCGATAATAGAGTGGTACAAAATGGTCCATTAGATAGTCTATTTGTATCAGAAATTGATGGAAAAGGACATGGTTTATTCACAACTAAATATATTAAGAAAGGTCAGTTTATTTGTGAATATGCTGGGGAAGTGGTAAGTATTGAAGAAGCAAGACGTAGAGTCGAGATGAATAAAAATAGTATGAATTATGTTCTTGTGGTTTCTGAGCATATTGGTGATCGAATAATAGTAACTTGTATAGATCCCAAACATTTTGGCAATATTGGACGATATTCTAACCACAGTTGCGAACCAAACACGAATCTTGTACCTATTAGAGTTGAAGGACCTGTACCTCGATTGTGTTTATTTGCATCCAGAGATATAGAAATTGATGAAGAAATAACTTTCAATTATGCTGGAGGAATTACTAATTCTATTCATAATTTCAGTCATACGATCTGTCTTTGTGGCTCTACTAATTGTCAAGGCTATTTGCCTCATAATCCTATTTAAAATTATTATGTTTTTTTAATAAATTGATCTAAGCAAAATTTATACAATTGGAAAATAATGTTCTAAATATTATAGAGTTTTGTAAATATATTGAATAGATTTTTAATAATTTCACATTTATTCATTATTTTCATTATTTATTTTCAAACAAAAATTAAGTTATTTTAGAACAAATTTATTATTATTTATAAGTTTATATAATATATATTTTTTATTAAAAAGAAAATAAATAATTAATTATTAATATTGGTTTAATATAAAGTATAAAAGTTAGTGTACCAATTGTACAGAGAAATTATCTTTTTTTATACACAAAATCAAAGATATAGACAAAATAAATATTATTTTAATTATCTATAAATATTAATTAATTATCGTAATTTTTTATTACAATCTTTTAATGTGTTCATTAATAATATGTTTCTAATGTATAATTCTAATATATTTGTCAATATAAATTGATATCAAGAAAAATAATAGATATTTTTACGAATGCAATTGTTACATTTAACTATAAATTTAATAAAAAATCATAAAGAAAATTATTTTTTTTAATAGAATTAAGAATATAATATGAATTATTATAAAGAAAGTAATAATTTTTAATAGAGTTAAATATATATATATTCTTATTATTATAAGATGAATTAATAATTAAGAAATAATTTATAAATCATCATTTTATCTTAAAAGAAATTTAAAAAAGAAATAGAAAAAAATTTAATACTTTGGATAAAAAATGATTAGATATAATTAATATATTATTAATATATTTCAAATTTATATTATTATTATTATTCGAGCTTCCATTTAATGTTTTACTAATTATATATATGTACTGTATATATATACATATATATAACATTTTTGTAATAGTGATATATGTTAATGATGTATTATATATATATATATATGAATAAAATATATATATTACATTTCTGTATACATGTATAGTTAAATAGTTAAGTATTGTATGTATCATTTTCTAATAAAATAAAATATTCAATCTTTTAAATAACATATATTGTTAATAATATAATTTTATTTTATTAGTTCTTTTAATTTCTATTGTTATTGAGTACAAACAATATTAAATATTGATGATAAAATAATATACGATATATATACAATAGAAAGACAAATATTAAAATATTTCTGATTTATTGAAACATACATAAAAAAATTTCGGAAATATGCGATTTATTTTCTTTTTTCGAAATTTTATTTATTTTTTTTAATTATATAACTAAAAGGATTAAAAAAACATTCAATTTTTTTTTTAATTCCTTAAATGATTATGAACTTCTTTGGTATCTTATGTAATGTCATCTTGTATTTTAAAAACTGTACATTATATGAATATAATATGTAATTCATAAAACGAATGTAATGAACTAATATCATTAACAAGCTAATATCTTTTCGATGTATTTATTTTTATTGCTGCTTTTCATTTTTTGCCATACATTCTGATTCTTTTGACTCGTTGCAATATTTCCAACGCAACCATGCTACTCTCATACGATCCCAAATATTCTCTAATGAATCCATGGCTGGCCTAACATCCAGTAATGTAAATGTATATTTTTCATTTACTGCTCCACCATCATAATAATCTATAATATATCGTACATCTTTTCCACATCTATCTACGATCCAATCATGCCTGTCAAATGGTAGTTCATATCTAAAAATAAATAATTTCATGTTTATTAGTTTAATTTATTAAAAATAATTATAAATCATATTATTATAACATACCCCATCCAATATCGAATGCGAGCACGTGGAGAATATTGCTTAGCTTTACCTCCAAAACTTCGTAATTTTGGAGTACCACATTCTTTTACATGAAGTGCTTCCCATTTAAGCACTTCCTGCCATGCTAGTTCATTATTTGCATTGTGAATTTTTATTATGTCATCCATATCTTTTGGTGTAATGTCATCATTTTTCCATCTCCAACCTTTTCTCAACATTGCATTCCAAAACATTTGTTGCGATGGATATACCCAAAATTCTCCTTCTCCAGTTGCTTTTGGTATAGATGAAACTTGTCTCTCTGTAGGCAGTGGAAAAGGCTGATCTGGTGCTGGTTGTTGATTAGCTGGTGGCATCTAAAATTTTATTTAAGTTTCATTTAGTGATGATAATTAACATGTGAGATATTTAGATATATTTAAATAAATTAATAACTAAATATTATAACCATATTAAGGGGATTAATATCTTCTGAAGTCATATCATTAATTGGACATTCACTGGAAAGTATAGGTGATTCTTTTTCTGATATAGACTTATGCATAGGACATTCTGGTGGAGGTTTTTCTTCAGATTTATAAATTTCATGGTGTTGAGTCTTTGAAATTTGTTGTTGATGCATTGGCATAATTACATCAGCTGCCGAAACAGCAGAGGTCATTACATTACCCATTTTTCTTTACTCTAAGTTTCCTGTACATCAGAAAATCAAAAAATTTTTCATTCAAAAATATGAAAATTAGAAATATTGATATTTATAAATAGATTGTGCAATAACCTATATTTTATGTTGCTTCAATATTATTATAATATTAAATATGCATTATATTATTGATAAATATGCGTTAACATATATTAAATATATGTTATATATAAAAATATACTTTCTCATGAAATATTATGCTGTAAAAACAAGAGAGTTGATAAAATACTTACATGTAGCTATAAACATAAAATTGTTGTTAAGATAAATTTATTCAACCATCTGTTTTTATCAACTTAGGAAAATGTGTCAATAAATTATAATGACCTTAAATATTAAATGAACTTTAGAAATTAAAGGTAATATCTTGTGAAGAATTGGAACATCTCGACCCCGAATTCTTCAGAGGACTTGGGATTAAGCATATAAGAATTATAAGTAATAGTATATACTCTTATATTTCACTATCATTTCTAGTAATCTCCATTAAGATAACAAAAATTTTCCCCACTAACACTAAAATATTTTTAAAAATTTATAATAAAAATTCATAAATAATTTAGAAAAAATTATCAATAAAAATTGCTTTTTAATTTTATATTTTTAATTTTTTAATAAAAATAAAATAATAATGAAGAGAATAATATTATTTAATTAATGATTTCGCTAGATTTTAGGAAGTTTTATATTCTTCTATTGGTAAAACTTTAGAATTAAATTTAAAATCTTTAATTAAAGATAATTCTTAAAACTTTTCTATTAAGATTTGTAAGTAGAAGATAAATTATATATATTTTAATATTTTTTTTTTATTAAAATATGCATAATATATACATTCAGTCCACATGTTCTTACGTATGACATTATTGTAAATTAAAATATTTCTCACTATGTACATATCAAATTTCGATAAGAAAATTGTTACTAATAAAATATTACTTCAATAACAATTCCACGGTAAACAATATAATATTATTTCAACTTATTCATAACTTCTAAGGTAAACAGACCTTCCATTCGTATAATTTTTTTTATGTTACAATAAAAAGATAGATCTGTTAGGAAATATTCCTTATTATTAGATTTTCCATAATACATAATTAAGACAATCTTTACAACAAAATCGATTTTCAATGTACTTTTATTCAATCATTGTTGAAAATCGATTTTGTTAATGAACTGGCCACTATTTATAAATTTATAAATTTATAATAAGTTTAAAAGTTTATAAATTTAACATCGTATCTATTTTTATGTGGCATAGAGTGTTTACAAAGGATTAGAAAAAAAAATTAATTCCTTGTTATCTTTGTTGATTCCTTATTTCCAGTTACGTGTTCCAAATCGAGACTATCATATTCTAATGCAGCAGTATTATCGTAGTAAGCATAATCGTAATCAGATTTTTTTCCAGATTTTGGTCGTTCTGTTGTAGGAAGCCTCGTTGTTGACGAAAACGGTCTGGCTGATCCACTGACATATGTACTTGTCCTTGATGTAGTTGATGATTGAGATGTTTTTTGGGTATTCGAGTTGAAATTATTGGGATTATAAGTAGTGGCTGCAGAAATTCTCCTATATAAAAATAAATTCCTTTAACAAAACGAAGATCCTTCACTAAGATTTAGGAATATCATATACTAATTTAATACCTTGAGACTGGAGTGGTAGATCTTGGTGTTTCAGCTAAATGATTAATACTAGCAGGACTGAATCCAATTCCAATCGAAGATCTCGCTAAATCATAATTTCCTGTGCTGCTCTCGATATAATATTTCCCATTGGGACCATCATAATTGTTATATTGTGTGGCTTTCTTTGGCGGTTTTGTACTATCGTAAAATTGAGACGAACTTTTAATAGATTGGTTAGATTTCTCATAATATTGTCCAGTTTGACTTTGACTATTATCATTAGCAATATATTTTTTCGTAACTGGACTGTAAGTAGTAGGAGCATAATTGCTGCTTGCAAAACTAGAAAAGTATTTTGTGGTTGATTGAGAGATATCTTGTTTGATAGTTGTACCAGTTCTATACTGTCCATTATTATTATTATTATTATTATTATTATTATTATTATTATTATTATTATTATTATTATCGTAAATAGTAGGTGTAATAGTTGTAGATTGATAAAGTATATTATTATTTCCACGTTGTATATTATTGTAATTTCTTTGATAATTTGTATAATCGTTTGCTTGGTAATTGGTGCTAGGTTGCAAGGTCGTGGATTGGACAAACTGTCCGCCATTATTATAATTCTGATTCTTATTGTAGCTAGTTGATTTTACTGTAGTACTTTGAATGAAACTTCCAGTATTTTGCTGATTATAATTCGAATTAGTATTGTAAGTATTATAAATAGTCGTTCTGCTTGTCGTGCTAGGAGATTGGAAATTATAATTATTCTGATAATTAGTACTCGATCTAAATGTTGAAGATGGGATATTATATTTCTGTGTATTTTGATTCTTGAAATTTTCTTGAGGCCTGACACTAGTAGATGATATGAAACCACTATTAGTCCGTTGATTGTAATTATTACCACTGTAGAAACCGGTATAAGTATTCTGATTGAGAGCAGCAGCAGGTAAAGGAGTACTAGATACATAATTACTATTGTCATTGTATTGTTGCTT